TTAGCTCGTGCTTCTAAAATGACGGTTCAATGTGGACTCAAACGACAGCTTGTTTGTTCTTAAGATAAATTATATAGGCTTGGGATTTTTATAATAAATGTCAACGTAACAGGTACCGTCGTACCGATGCTACAAAATTTACACGTAAAAACGTCGACAAAATGATTGACATAAAAGACTGATGAAGATTTTTTGCTATTGCCAGTCCTCATCAACAGCCGCAGAGAAATACGTTCATCCGATCACGAACGTTTGACATTTGTTGACATTTGCTTGCAAAACTACTACCTTCCAAAAGTCGTATACTTAAAAAGATGTACCATGCAGATGTGGAATACATTACCGAAAGACTTAACAGGCAATAACACCACATTAAGTCAGTTCAAAAAGGGACTTTTTGATTATAATAAATCGTCGTTAGAAACAGTGTATAAGGTTGATGACCCAAGAACATGAAAATCTATATGTTTGTCTTGTAACAAGTCTCGTAACCTGTCCCGTCGAATATCCTGTTGTTCAGTATTAACAGTGACGTCATATCATATTGCATGAAAAGGGCCGCTGTAATTGGCGAAAGCTATAGCGAGGTCCAGCCATTGTATGTCCCTGTTAATGTATATTTATGAACACTGTAGGTCCCTTGTCTGTTATTTCAAGTATATTATTGGCCAAGTTTAATAAATAAAATAAATAAATAAAAACCAATACGACGTTATTGTCTGTATCAGTTAAAAAATACTCATTAGCACTCACATTCATCGTGTGTGTGACAAAAAGTTTGTTATTGTGATCAATAGTGTGCTTTTTAATGGAAAGATTTTAAGGAAAAACAGTATGAAATCAAGCTGTTATTCGACTGAAATTATCGCAATGGAATTAAACATTAGGATTAGGGGAAGATTAAAATGAATGAGCTTTTAGAATTTTACAAGTCCTGTATAATTCTGAAAGCTCACTCACACTCAAACTCATTGACAGAGTCAAAGGTGTAAGTGTTCAGTTAAGTTTTAATGTTTAATAATTTCGATTAAACGAAAATCATGCAACCCTCGACCATTGACTTGAGTACCCTCGATCCTTGAACAAATTAACCTAAACTCCATACTTTTGAACGCGATTGCATGTGTTTACCTTAAATCCTTATGTTATAACATACCTTATACGCCCCCCTCTCAAATTAGACGTCTAGCTCATCTTGATAAAAGTATGTGGATAAAGGGGAGAAAAAATTAATATACATATATCAGTAAAACCTTAAAATATATAACGAGACATAAGTGTTTACTTAAATTCACTTTTAATGTACTTCAATAGTATTTATAGCGCTTTTCCAAGGATTTCCATTTTGATTTTGACTAAGAAGGATTTCAATGCTGTAAGACTGTAAGAATATACTTGTTCATGTAATTTTAATTCATGTTTCTAGAACATAATTACTGGTTTTAATCATGTTATTGCCTAAATTTAGTACACCTGCTCAATTGCATACTATCCCATTTTAATAGGCCTGGCAAATGATAGTTCAGAAATGGCCCTAAAATTTACCGAATTTTTGGCAATAATTCGGCAATAATGGTTTGGTAAATCCTAATTTAAGACGTATCCTAACCTTAATCTCAAGGATTAAATTCGGTTAATCTACAATGCTGACTTTCTTTTTGCACTTCCCCTGAGTCGCCATTAATCCACATCATGCAATTTCGGGAAATGAAAAAATCCGGAATGGAGAAATTTGCTTTTCGACACGATGGAATGGAAGCACTTTAACATTTACACATGAGTGATTTACATCCCAAATGGCGCCATTTGTGAAATAAATTTGCAGTTAATGTTCAAGTTCATTGCGATCAAAAGCAATAACAAATGAAAGAAATTGCAAAATCTGATGGGAAATTTTAAGCTAATATGGAAAAACGTGAAACGTCTGAAGGTTACTGGTGTAGTTCTGGGGCCGGTTGTATAAAAACGTAGTTAGCGCTAACTGCAGTTAAAAAGTAGTTGAAAAGTACTTGAAAAGTAGTTAACTTTAATCACGTAGTTAAGCCGGTTGTATAAAAATGTAGTAAGCCTTAACTGTAGTTAAAAAGTAGATAAAGTTAACTGTCCTCAAGGGCATTGTTAACTTTCCAAATCGTAGTTAAAAGTGGCGTCTTGAGATTTTGAGGAGTGAGAAAACATTAAAATCAACACATACCAAGGTTTTGAACCGTTATACACTCAGAAAAGGCCCCGTCAAAGCTTGTAAACTTTCAATATGCTTTTTTTTTTCATTTGGGCAGCAACAGAGTATATTTTTGCTTCGGGAGACGTGTCGATGCCAAATTACGATCCTATAGCAAAGATTAGCCATTTCCATTTTCAACTGCACCCGGTATTTTGACTCAAAGGGACCTTTTTATATTAAGAGCGCATTCTTCGTTGAATTATTTTGAATTTTTTCCTTGCTTTATTGCATTTTTCCAATATTTTAGATCAAAATACTGTCAATTTTTGTAAACACGAGTCCACAGTCTTGTTTAAAATCAAAAATAGCGGTCAATAACTTCCCGATACTTCATGCTATTTCTCTGTTTAACAACCCCACGCAAGCTCCACGCAAGTTAACTACGTGATTAGTTAATCATCCGACAAACTACGTTTTGTGCAACGCAGTTTAAGTCGTGTAGTTAACTAATTATAGTTACGGATTTAACTACAGTGATTAGCGCTAATCATAGTTAAAGTTAACTACGTTTTTATACAACCGGCCCCTGGTGTAGTACATTTATGTATGTATTACTTTGTCAAATTTGTTAACTATGACTAATTTCCAGATGTTTACATCAAAACTGTTTGTAATATATTTTCGTTGCTGACCAGCCTTCCCTGACTGCGGGTTATTCTTGACCCACAATCAGGCGTCTCTTTGGCAACGTAAGTATTCCAATTTGTTTAGATTTTTTGTTTTCTATTGGCCAATTTTTATCACGTGTTTTGCCCTGATACAAACATGTATTTTCCCCTATTCATTTTCATACTAACTCTCCTGACGAAGGCCCTCAGGTTGAAACGACGAGAAGTGTTTTGTCTATTTTAGAAAGTTGTTATACCACGTTTGAATGATGCTAAGTTACATAATTCATGGTGTATCAAAGTCATAATAGACATTACCGCATGGGAAGACACAATGAACTGAATAAAGGGCTACCTAAATAGAATATCTCTAGGGAGAAGTTTAAGTTTGAGACATGGCACTTCACATGTCCATGATAATCTGCTATATTATTGTACTTACAATAAATCAGTATATCATCTGCCATTGTGAAGCCTCTACTAAAACAATTGATCGCAATCCACTGTGTGAATATTGCATGCATTGGATGAATCAAGTCTTTCCCAAAATATGCATATATATGACGAGAAAATAGCTGAGAGTAATCCGGTGTACCTTTTTTTCCTGTGAAATCTTCCCACCAAAATTCTCAACAGAATTCTGTGATAATCACGTAAGTTCGTCAGGAGATGCGCCAGTGTCTAACGCTGGAATTAGATGTGCCACTGTCTAACTGGAGTTAGTCTACTCGAAATATTTGACGCTTGAGCTCAAAATATTTATTGCGACTGCAGGAATAACTTTCAAAGCAATAACGAGCACATTTTCTACAGCATAACAATATTAGACTATAGGTATTTGATTAGGCGTCATTCTCCACATGTATATACGTATATAACTAAATCGATCTTCTGAACGGCCTTACGAGAAGATTTTCAGCATCCTTTGTTTAAAATCAAAATCTCATCGTCAAAATCTCATCCTCAAAATTTTCTGGGAAATATAACGTCATTTATCTTTGGTATTAACGATGCTGGATCTTTCCTTTATAAGAATTGATGTTCACCATGTTTATGCACTTTAGTATGACAATTAGGACATCTTTCAAAATTAACACTCGCATATTTTTATAACTCTACTAGTCAAAATACATTTAAGTTTTAGAAATTATACATTAAATTCATTATAAGATACGTCTTAAACACCTCCCATCACCATTCGTTTAATAGTCATATTGAGATGTCCAGTATAGAAACTGGAAGACGTCGCGAGTGTAAAAGGAAGCGTAGGTTGTGCTTGGATTATAACAATATTATGTGGTGACTGCGGAAACTTACTGAAGTTTCCATATGATCTGAATAAAACAAGAGTTATTAGGCATTTGAAATAAATGACAATATTTTTAATAGCAAACGTGTTTTGACATGTGGTGTCTGTGGAAACGTAATGAAGTTTATTACGTAAAATGTATTCCTATCTACGTCATATATTTAACAGTTATTCTGGGAACTCGAGTCGTATATGAGCTGATAGAGAGTATACCGAGTATACGACGAGAGTGAGTTTATTATATACCCAAACTTTGTCGCACTTTCGGTGCATTTTGGTGTGCTATTATCAACTAAAGCTTGGATTTCTATTTCACTCAACTCCCAAAATCTTTCAGCCATTTTGTTTACTTTCTCTATTAGACAGATATGAGCTAATATCTGTCTATATAGCCAACCAATGAAATTACAGCATACCTCATATCTGGCGCTTGTGTATATAATAAGAACGTTTATTAGGATGCATTCGGAAAGAGGTTATCCTGTTATGATGAAGATAAACCACCGTATAATTATTGATAACCTTGTACTTCATATCTTTATAAGGATGATAAAATCCTAAGCTGAACTAATGCAAGATAGCCGAGCGGCGAACAAGAACCATGATCAGAATTCAGTATCATCATCCTTATCACAGAACAACGAGTATATTAAAGTCGTTATTTTATGTCCTTAAATTGAGACAGAGAGAACACGTGTTTTAAATTTTTTGAGTCCTTGAATTCGTTTGTCCGTATCTCCGTTTCATACTAACACCATTGTTTGAAGAAAGGCAGGATGTGAATTCCACAGCAGGACTGTTTCTAAGGAAGTCTTGACCACATTCTGACATTCTTTCCATATAAACGTGGCCTCGTTACTTGAAATTATTAGTTCACGTTTTATATAGTCGTCAGAATTGTCAACTTATTCTCTTCAAAATGGCAGAGACAGCTGATAGTCGAACGCTAGTAGAGGTAGGTTTGTTTTTATATCATAACACTAAAGGTAGGTTTTTTATCGTTATTATTATTTATTGAAATACGCTTCACTAGCTCTACATTTCTCTCATGCACTTAGCTACAATTGATGCTGCGATTATACAGTATAAATACCCTTTGATTCTTAGTACCCTTTGAGACTTATAGTAAAATTTCATGGTACATATCGCCTATTAATATCACGAGAGGTAAGATAAATTTTAGACTTCGTGTAAGCAAGACGATAAGAGGTCTAGAGACGCTGATTTCATCGAGTATTAGTATTTTTTAGAGTGTTGATGCATACTATCTTATATAATTATATGAAACAAATTTGGCTGACGAAAACAATTATTGTCGCTACCGCGCAGCCACCTTCTTCTTTGTTCCCTTTTATGGCCGAGTTTATGCCGATATCTTACCCTTATGGCGATCATGCAGGCCCTAATTATAGAGACCTTTATAGTTTGACGCCAAACCGCTAACAAAGTTTGTGTTTTAACTCCACTATCTTTAAGTGTGCGGCAATTTCGCTAAATTACAAACCTTCTGCATAAACGTGTGATGTTCAGCAGTAACGTAAGAAAGCAATAGGCTATTTCTGATGTATTTAGAAAAGCAGCAAATTCAGGTTTTCCGTATGTGTTTCACGTTCGCCGTATAAAATTTAATGCTTAAACGACTACATGCATATACACCCTAAGCCGTTCAAGCATTAAATTTTATACGGCGAACGTGAAATTAAACATATAGGGCAAAGATGAATTAGTTGCTTTTCTAAATACATCAGAAATAGCCTATTGCTTTCTTACATTCAGCTGAACATCACAAGTTTTATGTAGAACGTTTGTAATTTAGCGAAATTGCCGCACACTTAAAGATAGTGGAGTTAAAACACAAACTTTGTTAGCGGTTTGGTGTTTGCCGTAAACGTCAAACTAAAGGTCTCTAATGTTACACGTTGGGAACGACACGGTTTTCCTTTAACTTGCAATACATTTCCACTTTTGAAAGACGTGATAAAGTAAATTAAGAGTTTTTGAAACATACGTACGTATAAGAAAACATCCCTTGTACAACTGTGGAGTGTATTATATAAACACAAAAGTTTCGTCAGTATAGTTGCCAAATTCACAATGTAAATACATTAGAGAACGCATGAGCGAATATTTATTATAACCGTACACTGAACTTTTTTATTACCTGTATACTGTGGGCAACGGAGGCACAGGAACTGTGGAGACTGAGGCAGTTGTTTGATTATTTCGTGAAGAAATCTGGAGAACAATAATAGTCTTCAATATTTTCTTTTTTAGGGATTCACGTTTATTCCTGTTACATTTGATCCACACGAACATTGGAAAATAGGGGAGAAAGTGAGAACTGGTAAGAGATGTTTTACAGATAATACCAGTCTTTTCATCAGGTTAATACCTATAGTAACTAAGGTTAATACGTATAGCAACATGGCTTGAGGTATACCATGCCGCGGTTAGGATGCAGAGCCTAATGCCTAAAGCAGAAAAAAACATTATTGTGGTTTTCTGAGCGCGCTACTTCGTTCAAAAGATTTACTTTCATCATATATAGGAAAGGAAAAAATTCTTACTCTTCCAAATGGAGTTCGTCTTGAGTTTGCATATATCATTACTCTTGCTGGAGACTTTTATGGCGTACCTGATGAACCGATTGTAAATCCCTTGAACCCTAGCCATTCTGATAGATTACACAGATTCATCAATGCTTACTCAACTTTGGCAAACACCCCATATGAAGGAAAGTATAAGGTTTGAGA